GGGGGGGGGGAGCGAGTGAAAAAAATTCGTGTCCAGGAAAGCGTGTAACAGAGCGGGGCATAAACGTGCAGTAAATCATCACTGACAGGCGCGGAGGCCTGATGACATTTGGTCTCAGGAGGCTCGGTACGAAATATATCTATTTATTTATTGAAGAAAAGTGGTTACCCCGATGGCTCGAGGAAAAGCTCCACATTGAATTAAAAAAAAAATTATATATACGATCATACATGCATTGCATATCCATATATATAGATACACACACACACATACATTGGCACATACATGAGATAAGGCATTCGATTCATAGGAACAGAGTAAAAGGCCCAAGATTAAATAAGCACTGGCTCCTGTCCCTGCCGTTGTTGCTAGGAAGGAAATTTTTCCTAAGAAGAATTATTCCCAGTTGTCTTGGGGAATTTTGTTTTCTCAATGAAAATTACTCAATGCTAGAGGATTCTTTCATTCTGATGAATTGAGAATTTTTTCAGAGATGTGAAATTGTTATTTAAAAAAAATTTCAAGTCAACAAAAAATCGATTATATATTTAAAAATAAATTTTTTATGTAGTGTTGATAATCCGCAGTTGAGTTGAAAAAGCAGGAAGTGGCAAATAAATCTGACCACGCATAAAAATGTGCTGCGAGCTTAAGCACATTATTACTTCAGGACCACAACACCACACAGCAGGACCACAACACCACACAGCAGGACCACAACCCACAACAGCGCGCTCAGCCCACACTTCAATACCATTACCGTCAATAATTACCGTACGTACCGTTATCGGTATTTATCACGCGTACCGTAACCGGTATTAACTAACGATTGTACCGTTACCGGTGATGATTAGTGAGATCATCTTTACCGGTATTTGTCTCAGGGTGTATTAATCACTATTAACCACTACCCGACCGGTATCTGTGCGCCAGCCAGTATGTTGCGGTACGTTGCCATATCATTTTACTATCAAATCATCGGACTAAAATATTCTGTTGTATGAAAAACCGTATAGTACATTCGACGATGAATTGAGGTACCGCTACACTCGAAAAATTCCAGTACAGCTACACTCGAAAAATTCCAGTACCGCTACACTCGATAAAAATTCCTGTACCGCTACACTCGATAAATTCCTTACACTCGATGATAAATTCCGGTACCGCTACACTCGACGATAAATTCCGGTACCGCTACACTCGATGACAAATTCCGGTACCGCTACACTCGATGATAAATTCCGGTACCGCTACTCGATGATAAATTCCTGTACCGCTTCGCTCGATGATAAATTCCGGTACCGCTACGCTCGATGATAAATTCCGGTACCGCTACGCTCGATGATAAATTCCGGGATCGCTACACTCGATAAATTCCGGTACCGCTACACTCGATGATAAATTCCGGTACCGCTACACTCGATAAATTCCGGTATCGCTACACTCGATGATAAATTCCGGTACCGCTACACTCGCTGTCTCTTATACACATCTAGATGTGTATAAGAGACAGCCGCTACACTCGACGATAAATTCCGGTACCGCTACACTCGATGATAAATACCGGTACCGCTACACTCGTTGATAAATTCCGGTACCGCTACACTCGATGATAAATACCGGTACCGCTACACTCGATGATAAATTCCGGTACCGCTACACTCGATGATAAATTCCTGTACCGCTACGCTCGATAATAAATTCCGGTACCGCTACACTCGATAAATTCCTGTACCGCTACACTCGATGATAAATTCCGGTACCGCTACACTCGATGATAAATACCGGTACCGCTACAATCGATTAAAATGGGTAGAGGTAGACTCGGTTATCAGTGCCGGGATAATATAGTAATATAACATAGATAATATAATATTTCGGCAAGTTATAAAATTTTCTGTAAAAATTATCGAAAGATAATTCATTTATCCGATGAAAATTCGAGTCTCGTTCGCGCAAAATATTTTGCAGGTTACTATGCTAGCCTAAATTTATTTACTTTTGCACTTTTAAATTATTGAACCCATTAACTAATTTATAGTAAAAAAATTTGCTGCCGAAGGAATAAAATCATGCAATAGACAAAAATGGATCACGCATCTTGTTAAACTTTCTGCTGACTGAGAAGAAATAAATGTCAGGTCCACCAGAGATGTGTGCGCGAAGAAAATTTTAAATAGGCTTAGTGCTCAAATTTCAATGGTGCTGGAACCGTACTGAATTGCGTGATGAATAATTTCGAAAGGGCACAGACAGTCTTTTGAAAGTGTGCGAGAAGTCAAGAAGAAATGTTATATAAATAAAATTCAGTCGCCATTTCCTTCTTCAGAAGATGTACACTTAATGCTGAAATAAAATATTTCTTGGGGCTAATATATGTAGGTGAAATTTTGAGCACTGCTGTTCAATAGCCATATTAATATGGTCAAAATCTTTAATCACAAATCTTATGGACCAGAATAAGAATAAATGAAGAACTTTCCTCCTATTTTAATATCGACTGGCGCAAAATTTAGCTCCTGCACTGACAGCCATCGTGAATGAAGAGTTTTACGCTCACGCTGACTTTCAACGAGCGCCAACGGAATGTCACTTCAGCCCAATGTATGAATACGAATCCCTAATTCAGCCCAATGTATGATAACGAATCCCTAATTAAGCCCAATGTATGACAACGAACCCCTAATTCAGCCCAATGTATGACAACGAATCCCTAATTCAGCCCAATGTATGACAACGAATCCCTAATTCAGCCCAATGTATGACAACGAAGCCCTAATTCATCCCAATATATGGCAACGAATCCCCAATTCAGCCCAATGTATGACAACGAACCCCTAATTCAGCCCAATGTATGACAACGAATCCCCAATTCAGCCCAATGTATGACAACGAACCCCTAATTCAGCCCAATGTATGACTATGAGCAGAGCTGCGCAGCGCTACTTTGAAATGTAGCGGCCACTACCACTACATACTCTAAATGTAGCGGGCGCTACAGCTACCGCTACAATTGCTTAAATGTAGCGCCGCTACCGCAACCGCTACATGTAGCGCGCTACTGCCCACCTCTGACTATGAGCCTCCAAAGCTGCAAATCTATTTCAAATTTTTCGGAATTCTCCAAACCTTTTAAGAGACCTGTCATTAACGAGGTCTTGTACAGTAAATCAAATCGGAGTACTGCTACGAAGTACTTATTTTACGATGAGCCAATTCCAAAATAGGCAAGGCCTCTCAAATCGCTAGCGCTGAATTAGTAAATTAGTAATAATTTTGATCTGAATATGTTCACCATTATCTTTTCATTATGTTCTGCTGAAAAAAAGTTCAGAATAAATACGCTCTCCCACGAACTAAACTAAGAACTTTGCAACAACCCAAGTAATGAACACCCATTTGCATGAATTTGTAAAACACCTTGTGAATGAAAAACACCTCCATAAACACCTCATGAATCTGTACAGGCGATGTGGCAACCACGTCGCTTTGATTGTGCGTTCGAGACGTGGAGAACGCAAGTGCTAGCGAAAAATCTCGGATAATCTTCGATTCCTTGGCTGTCTTTGAATTCAGCGCACTACGATAGTCCCAACCTAACTTATGACTAGTCATGGTACCTATTTCATGTATGAGTACAGAGTACAGTACAGTTCACAGAAAAGCATTCTCAGAATAACATGTTATGCCAGAGATCACGAAGCCGAATTTTAAACAAATCTCTCATAACTTAGACTTCACAACCAAGACTTCATGCTTAACTGTGGCACTTTCTGACCCAAAGGAACTGGAAGGAATTTGAATGAAATCATTACTTGAGATTCCATACAGCTTGACTAAAAATATTTCGTTTGAGAGGTGAAAAATCACACGAAATCATTTCATTCGTAACAATTGGCAGAAAGGATTAACCACAACTTAGGTCAACGGGTATTAAATATTCAATTTATGTACAAATTTATAAAAGATAACTCACCGAGAATCATTGCCTCCAGCTTGCGTCTGTCAACACGGAAACGTTCCTCAACTTGCCCATCGGCAAGCGATATCCTGTCTGTGCTGGTGCACCGAGACAGCGTTCCCTCTGATGTAAGGTCGCTGTTCTCGTCCATTATTGCCTGGGAGTTCAGATCTCCGTCAGCCGAGGCGATTCGGTGCTGCCGAAAACCTCCATAGTCCGAAGTGTGGAAGCGTGGGCCGCTAGCCTGCTTCTCAGCATTAGTCATGAGCGACATAACTTCGTCCACGGAGAGCAGACGCGTCGAATGTGGTAGCCGAGATAGAGAGTTCTCTCCCATGGCTGACATTCTGGACGCAAACGTCTGATTTCTCATCGACATCGACGGCTTCTCTTCGTGAGAGACCACGATCCTTGGAGGTTTTTTCTCCATTTTTCAAAACAGGAACTTTTCAAATGAAGACGGATCTTTAGCTGCTCGAAACTTTGGCAAACGAGAACAAACAAAGTTGTGATACTATCCAGCTATCCCAAGTTGTGTCTTCGAAACTTTAGCACAGAACAGAACTTCCACAAATTCAGTAGTAACCTTTCTCTTCTCCAACAGCTTATCAAGTTCAGAGCTCAGGCAGCCAGTGCAGGCCGTGACGTTCTAGTCAAATTTCTGTAATGGCGTATCAAGAATTTCTGATTTCTTCTTCATCGTCAGAGCAAACTAAGCTTGTTAATTCTATCTATTTAAAGAGCTTATACTCTAACACCGATGACACTTAATTCTATTCCTAATTCGAGAAGTGACACAAATTTTTACATGTACTTTATTTATTTTTAAGAAGCGACGAAAGACTATCAAATTACGAAAAAGACCGCGTTATAAAGACTATCAAGACCGCGTTATATAAAGACCGCGTTATAAAGACTATCAAATTCGTGCACAAATCAATATAATGTTCTTATTTATAAAATTTATCATGAAATAATGTATAACGTCATCAATATTTAACGAGCATTTAAATTGCGGCGATCACCTGATACAGGGTGCGGCGTGGGAACTTACTCTTTTAAAAAAATCACAAAGTAAAAAGTATTAAAGATAGCGTTTTAATTCTTTCTTTTTTACAAAGAGCTACATTTAAAGTTTCGTTGGGTTTACTTACAAGTTTAATTCTTGAATATTACATCTTGTGGCCACTAGAAAAGTACACAGAGACTGCGAACGCGCGCTCCTCTCTCGACCACTGCATGGTCGCAACTGAACTGAGTGGACGAAAAACTTCATAGCCCGCGCACCATATTGCGCATGGCGCCACCTTCCTAGGACTAATGGCCGCCACGTGGCGCGCAATTCAAATAAGTAAGTTCCCGCGCCGCACCCTATACTTGGCGCTGCATTTACCGCAGCTTCAGCATTTCGCAGATAATTCAAAAATATTTATCAAAAGCTCAAAATTGCGTATTTAGGGTGTGTATGTAGTAGCCCTCATGTGAAATTTAGAGAATTTCTATGAAATTCGTGGAATTCAGAGAATTTCAATGAAATTCAAGAAATTCAGAGAATTTCAATCAATTCAAGAAATTCAGAGAGTTTCAATGAAATATAGAACCCACTCTGATTAACTGGTAAGTATGAAAAACTATGACTTCCGACTAGCAAGTAAATTGGTCGGTCTATCGCTTCGAGGAGACCATCGCAATGCGTTAGTAACGCGCTGTCAAGGATTGAGTAGAGTTCACTCCATTCAATCCTTGACAGAACGTTGAAAATAGAGTGAAAATTCATTGAAAGTTTCCACTTCTGTTGGAAATTCATTAAGTTTTAGTAGTTTCTCGTAGTCCGCGAAGCGAGTGAATGGAATTTTCAACATCAAAAATTTTTGATCAAAGACGTTATAGTACTATACTCTATTATTTGATATCATTATAATTTTTTTTGGACCAATATGCTGTATTCACTTGTTCATGCGTTTGATTGTCCCAGATAACTGAGAGATTAATGAATTTTTAATTCTTTTTTCTCATTTTGTTTTTAATTTCATCGCTCTGGCGCCGTTCCAAAATCAAGCCAAAATAATAATGTGCTGAATGTGACATAATTTCCTTCAATGAAATAATAATAAATAATAACTTCGAAATAACTTCGAAGAAATTCATATCTTTCCCCGCAGCCACTATCCAATATAGGCTATGGCGACTCAAGGATAATGATATCAGAGGACGAGCTAAGGTTACCGACAATCTGATTGTTATGCTAATTCTTTTTTTACAAACAACGTCATACCATCAACATGAATTCGTTATTTTGTTCAGCAGAACCAATTCAGCACATTTCAATAAAGGAGTTTACAGTACTACGCCTTGAATTACGTATTTTTCAGAATACAAATACATTTTACGCAAAAAAAATCGAATTCAAGCTCTATAGTCTAAACTAACTTTATAGTCGTCTGTCGACGTCTTCAATTTATTTCTGTCGAGCACGTTTCCGTTAACATAAAAAATTAGCCCAATCAATAGCGAAACTAATAATTATTCATCGATTTATTTGGAATAAAGATGTGCATTGATATTGTTATAGAGTTCATATTCGAAAATCCAGCCGGCGAACAATACTATATTGTCATGCCGAATAGATGCCATATAAATAATTCTGTCATGTGTTGATTATACGATACTCAATATGTGCAGAAACTTGCATCGAAAAGTATAAATACATTTCCCTTGCTTTATATTTTTCTGGTGAGATAAATAACAATCCAATATCAATGCTTTCTGGTAAATATTTATAGAGTTAAAAAGATTGAAATTGACCTTGAAATATTTTAGTACCAGAATCTTGCTCACGCGAAAAACATTTCTATGGTTCTGTAAGAACTAAATAAAGTAAATATACAAATTTTTAGGATAATTGACTAAAGCAGCATAAATTAGCCCCCTGTTCACATAGCATGTATTGCATTATCGTCGTCCAACACTTCACGTTACCAAATTTTCAATTCATCCTTCGAATTTTTTAAAATTCCTTCACTCATTCAGCGCCAAAATTAAGCGTGTTTTTCTATATTATTTATGCCTGGGAATAATATTTTGCTGCAACCTGCATGTGAAATAGCTGCTTATCACCCGTGCACTTCACTGACTTTCATCTTATTCACTGACCCTGAATTTCCAACTCAGTCGTATAGTCTCAGAGAAGCGAGGGTCTGGTACGTAGTAAGTATTGATCTCTGCGGCGTTCACTTGACAACCGCAGAGTACGGTAGCTTCTACCGGCATCTTCTATTGCGATGAACGATTTATTAGTAATATTATTACAACCTGCCTTCAGCATAATCCACGAAAGTACAATTGTAATTTTTTTGTAGTGGTTTTAAGGCTTTTCCTATACGTTATGGCCTTGTTAATTTCCGTTAATCATTAATTTAACTGCATGGCAACTATATATTAAGTACATTCATATACGTATCACGGAAAAAGAAAGTTATCGCTAAATAAATTTCATTAGATTTATTTAAATTTTAATAAATTGTCTGGCACTCGTTGACAACGTAAGTTTCACATTTTTATATTTTTCACTACACTTGTGCTCTTACATTAATAGTAATATTATTAATAATATGCTATTAATTTCTCCGAGAGCATCAGATTGCACCGCGATTGTCTGTTATTTAACATTCGTTTTAGAAAAAAATAAAGTGAGTGAGTGTGAATATAGTGAGTGTGACGAGAAAAAATATAGTGAGTGATGACAGAGAGCGCATTTTCTCGTCGACGAAAACGTGAAGTCACGGACAGACAGACGGACAGATGGACAGACAGACGGACATGACGAGCACAATAGCGCCTTTTTTCCATAGATGAGAAAATGCGCTAAAAAGCAGGAAGTCGATTTGTTTGCTCTTTTCGCTTTCAGGTTTTTCTCATTCGAAAATTTCAGGATGAACAATAAATCGAATTTAAGAATGAATTGAAGCCTATAGCTTTATAGCCTGACAAGTTAAGGCCAATCGTGAATGCCAAAAAAAAAAAAATCCGCGGAACCCGCGAAAAACCTTCACTATATAAGCCTTAAGTTGACGTGGTTTGAACAATTTGATTTTTATCAACGCGTTGGAAAATAGAGACAGTTTTCGCATATAAAAAATGCACATAGTTAAATGGACAAATGATGAATCATCAAATGTTCGTAATTTTTTTTGCTGGAGATGGGATGGAATAACAGATGATGTTATATTTGTATAAAATAAAGGCGAGCGTGTGTAATTATCCTGGACTGAAAAGCGCCTCGATCCATGTTGACAAATTGAAGAATAATTCAGTTCATTGTAAGGAGTTGACTATTTTTCTAGTACATAGGTCAATCATTTATTTGTCGTTGATGTCGCATCAACAGATTTTCCAAACCGCAATAATTTTATGGCCGGTGAGTTGAACTCGAGACGAAAAGTGCGATCATTTTATTTCTTCATTAGGTGCTGTATAATTACTGATAAAAATATTTAGCCTTTATTGTTGTTTTCTACAACTGAAATAATCAAAATTATTATTTTTGGTAGCATGCGTTTGCCGGACATCTTAATTATTTTTACAAGTCGAGGTTAGTCATGGAAAATGTCGAGGTTTGTCATACCACTTCAACACTTTTTCGCGACGTTGGTGAGTCAGGTCTTACCATGGCCTTATTTCATTAGTTATGTCAGGACCTTATCCATAACCAACCATTCTTGATAGTAACTCTCGGCTTGATATTACCATGGGTTTTTGACAATTTTGCCGTTGCAATTAACTTTCAGCTTGACACCACATTATATTTTCTGTCAATGTAAGTAATTTCCAGCCCGAAAATTGTTTACTTGCAATGGCAAAAAAATGTCAGAGAGTCTGATTTTTTTTATTTCAACTGAACACATATAACGCAAAAGTAACATTTTTACTTGTAATAAATACATCTCTTCTTAGAAAATACATATTTTATTTTATCTGTTCTTATTTACTCTCAATTTATTTCATAATCTAGATGTTTAATCTTGAAACGTTTTAGCAAGCGATCTCCACGCAAGCTAGGGTTTTAAGCATCAGTTCTTAGTTTGACAGACAGAGTAAAGACGTTAGCATCACAAACGTGAAACTTTACTTCAACGTCAACAAAATTACAACCATTGCTAAGGTTAGTTGACAATTTTATATATTTTTTCAAAGTTTTTGTCTGTGTTTGTCCATGGTTTTGAAACTTGGTGCCTCAAATACATATAGGTGCTGTTGGGGCGCGTATCTAGGATATACTTATCATGTCGGGATATTGTATATAGGCGCAGTTGGCGCGCGTATCCAGGATACTTTTCATGTCGGGATATTGTAAATAGGCGCTGTTGGAGCGCGTATCCAGGATACCTATCATGTCGGGATATTGTATATAGGCGCTGTTTCGGGCGCGTATCCAGGATACTTAGCGGGATATTATTGTACGTATAGGCGCCGTTCTATATTATCTTGACCTGAAAATTGGCTTTTAGACGTATATTATATATTATATAATGTATATTATCTGGACGTATATTGTATATTATCTGGACTAGAAAATTGGCCTTTTTTTAGAAAATTGCTTTTTAGACTATAGGCTCTGATATCATAGTGAAGGATTGGAGGAAAGGGTTCGATCAAAAATAAAAAATAAATTTCAAGTTGATAAA